GAGTTTTTTATAGTTTCTATAAAATAAAAATAAAAATAAAAACCATTGTACAAATAATATTAGTTTTGATTATTTTCTCACTAGTGCGTTAGTGAACAAAACAAAATAATCAAATGTTATATTAATAAAATATTTTTTTAATTGGTGCTGCACAAAAAAAAAAAATTAACCGCCTTATAAATTGAAAGATCTGTTGTTATTTTATTGGAATTAAGTGGAAAAAGTAAAATATTTAGGGATTTATTCAAACAGATAAAGGGGGAAAAAAATCTTGGAGGCCGGCGCATTGGTAGTGTTCAACAAAAACTAATAGAAGATGATTCCATTTGTAGAATTCATACTGTAAAACTTATTTTCTATTAGTGTATGATATTTGATACAATTGGTGTCTCTAGTATTTTTCAAGAAAAAAAAAAGTGTGTCGTCTTCTGACCTTGTTGAGGTTCCAAATCTTTAGCATTGTTTTGTCATCATGCAAAGGGTCTTCAAACAGGCAGTCCCTAGTGGGAAGAGCATAGCATTGGCATCTCAAAATAGTCCCATCTGGTAAAGCCAGGCTTTTGAGCAACTTGAAGTTATGTTCCCCAACAGCGTTACTGACATATAGATTGGCCCTCCAGAAATAGCCCTTGAAGCGGCATGGAATTCAGTACAAGGGTGCGTGGATTGAAACATGTCCCAATCCAAATACTGTTGTAGGCACAATGTACCATGTGACACCCTCGTAGCCAAAACGTTCCCTTCGGATCTCCATAGGGGTTGATGCACCGAAAATCATCTCCTATGCTCGAGGGCGGAGACAACAATTTAAAATAAGTCAGGAGTGGGGGAGTGTACTCAAAATTTCATTAGATTTATATAAGTTAATTAAGAAATTTAACGTATTATAACGTGACATAAACATTGAATTTCAAAATTTCAAGCGAGACAAACTAAAAATTTCATCAGATTTCACATATAAAATTAAAAGGAAAAAAAAAATTCTCAATGGGGTGGCCGCCTACCTCACTTGTGTGTGTGGCTCCGGCCATGTCTATACTATGTTGATCACATTATTTGTCTGCTGAGAAAGTATTGGAAAAGAAAAACGCAAGTACGAACATGCCGACACGGCCGAGAGAAATGGCCTCTGTTCCGAGGAACATGAAATCGTTACACTGCTGCATACTAGAGATGACTCCATTGCCTTTGAAATGCTCTCTAACGGAATCCGTGAGTGCCTTATAATACGTTTTTTCTAGCTCAACTCTCCCGGCGAATTCTTCTGATACCAGCTCTAACAACTGCACCACACTCATGATGTGAACCAAAAAAAAATCCTTCTACTTCTAGTTTCTCTTTTGTAGTACTTGAATAGGCTTAGAAAACTTCAGCAGAGATAATACTAGAGCATAAGAGCAGTGGCGGATGCAGTCTTTTATTTCAGTGGGGGGTGTACACTAAATTTTTTTTAACAAATTATCTTAATGAGGCATATAAAAAAATATATTTATTTTAGTGGGAGCATATATTATTTTAATGGGGGCTTAAATGTAAAATTTTAAAATTTTTAAAGGTAATATTTTTTTTAAAAAAATTTGAGTGGGGTGGCTGCCCCCACTCATCTTCAAGTGGCTCCGCCACTGCGAGCAAAGATTTTTCTTGATTTCTTAACGTGGGTGTTCTGTAAATTAAGACTAATTAAGAAGTAAAGTGGACAGAGCATATGCAATTCATTTGATCACTAGAGAAATGGTGCACCCTGCATGCCCGTAAATATAAAGTCGATGGATAGACTATAGAGTTCTAACTTGTAATGGCTACATTTTTAGTGGCAAGAAAAAAGAGGGTCGTATTGTCCCTTTTTTCTCTAATTTGAAGATCAAATTATCATATGTAGTTCAAAGAAAAAGAAAAAGAGAAAGATCAACTTTGAAATATTCTTTTGAAATTGAAAAAAAAATATAAAGTAGGAAATTAAAAATAACTGTATAAGAAAGAGATTAAAGAAAAAGCGATATAAAAACAAAAATATAAGACAACCATATTAATTTTCTTAAGAGAAAAATAAAACTAATTTATCATTTTAGAACGACGTAAATTATAAGTTGCACAAAAATCATGTCAAACTATGTACTTTCCTCTTGAATAAAATATGTATAGCTTTAACAAAAAATAAAAAATAGAAAAGAAACGTACGTGTATGGCATCAATCTTGATGTCATTAATCACCGCCTCCTCAATGCGCAAGTGAAAGTGAATCCCCTCGTAGAGCTATGCCGCTAGCTTTGGTGGCACAAATGCCATCCCATCCGCCACCATATTCCCCATTGCCTGATCCTCCATCATCCTCTTCACGCCCTTTGACAACTCCACTCTATGTACCCTACAATTAGTGACGGAGTCAGCCTTTCACTTCAGTGAGGGCGTACATTAACTTTTTCTTAACAAATTATCTTAGTGGAGGCATATAAAAAAATATATTTATTTTAGTGGAAATATATATTATTTTAGTGGGGGCATATATTATTTCAGTAGGGATTTAAATATAAAATTTTAAAAATTTTAAAGGTAATATTTTTTTAAAAAAAATTTGAGTGGGGGCGGTAGCCTCCATTGAACTGTATTTAAATCTGCCATTGCCTACAACTAGTACTAGACATCTCGCGGGGAAAACAATTGGGGCTAACCCCACCCCAGTATACCCACAAAATGCATGCCAAACGTAAACATACTCAACACTCGTAAACTCCTCCTTCAAGTCCCTCACAAACCCACCCATGCCTTCTTTCTTATAGTTGTCAAACCGTTGGCTTTTGTAGTCTCTAAACTTAGCATTCGCCTCAAAGCTTTCCAAGCAGTTCAACCCCTCCGCAGCTCTCCTTTTCTTGTCCTCCTCGCGGGAGAATCCTTGGTCTTTTTCCTCGTGTCATGCACTGCCAGCCGTCGTCGATGATGATCATCCCCGGAGGGCATGACCCCTCTGCAAGGTCAATGATCCCTTCGCGGACACCCTTTGGACTCACCTGTTCAAATGACAATTTACTATTTCACAATACTAAACATTTCATAATAATAATAATAATAATAAATAAGGTCAACGTCCAAGTTGAGAACTCATTGATTAATATGTCTTTGATAACTATTTGTATTTGTTTCCATTTCAATTATCACCAAAACAAAATCTTATTACTAACTTCTCAAGATGCAAGCATTCAATTTTGGAAAATTGTGTTAATCTCTGTGTCAATTATTGTTAGATTGTTTTACCAAGGTAAAAGTAAAGACACCGTTTTAAATTTGAGTTTTCACTACTAATTATTTATTATGGCATCTAAACTTAACGACATGATCCCATAAATAAAAACTTAAAATATTAAAAATACTTAAATAATAAAGTGTCGAATTTAATTGGAAAATAAAACAACAGATTTGAACTCTCAAATATGAATCCTACCAAGGAACATGATTATCACATAATTTAACGTGTCAATTTATTCTTAACATGCTCTAATCAATAAACATTAATACATAAGTCATATTTCATCTATATATACATATGATACACTAACATGACCTTCTTATAGAAAGCGTCCCACGTGCACCAACCGAACTTATCAACGATCGGCGGCGGCGTCTTCTCCTCCAGAAGCCGAAACGACCCCAGATGTTTCCGAACGACACACATCGCTTCCCTCACCAGGCCGTACGGACTGTCGTTTCCGACGTGGAAGTAGAGAACACTCCTGAATCCGGACGACACGACACGTGTCGAGCCGCTCTCGACGCAGACGTCCACGTGGTCGGAGACCGCCCCGGGCTGCAGCGATGCCCGGAACGAGCCCTCGATGAGCGGGAGAAGCAGAAGGTAAGGGCGAGAAACGGCGTCGTCTCTGTCCAACATCATGAACTGTGTCTCGCTCTCGACGTGGTTCCCGGTGGTCCCCACCCAGTGGGTGGTCCACCAGAGCTTGAACCTGAAGAGGCTCATGAACCTTATGCCGCTCAGCTTCCCGATAGAGGCCACGTGGCGCCTTCTGGGCTCGCCGGCGGAGAAGCCCACGAAGCAGCCGGTGGTGCCGGTCGGTGACGCGGCGGTGGCGACGAGGTTTTCGGGGACGTCGGTGAGAATCGGGTGTCCGCTGGCGAGGAAGTTTGTTCCTTCCGAGTTTTATCGACATATTCGGTGTTTTACTACTGTCGGTTTCATCAGATTGTTTTACGTGAATAGAACTTTTTCTTAAGCTTGGAGTCATATTCAAGCGATTAGGTGATCTTTATCAAAAGAAGAGGAGTAATTTGCTTGTGAAATGCTAGCAGAGAGACAGAGATGATGCATAGAGGAGTTTGTACGTAGAAACTAAGAGAAATAGATATACATAGATATATATATATATATATATATATACACGCACACATTTATATATAACAGTGTAATCTAGAAGTGCAAATGAAGTACTTTGTTTGGTTTTGGGTAGTGTTTTGTAATCGAGAACATTATTTTTTCCCAAATGCAGGTTGGTTTTTTTTTCTTTTTTTTTTTTCGTTTTCATTTTCTCTAGCAGCTATGCTCGAGAACATGATCAGTTTTGTTACTTTGTTCATAAACGACATATATGGCACCGTAACACGAATAAATATATCACTCGAGGAAAAAATAAAAAAGAAAAGAATGGATTTTAGTTTCTATTTCTGACCTCTTTTTGGACGGTTAACAAGTAGACAATTTTAATAGTGAACGACGACATTAACAAAGACAAGTCCCAGAATCCAGCGTATTTTTCTGGTTACACATAGTAACGTTATACTACCACTTTCCGCAAGACATTGGTAGTAACGATTTACGACACACTTAAACAACGATGGTTAGGCATATTTTTCTGTAATGAAATGGAGATAATATTTTCCTTGGTGTTCTTTAATTTTGTATTTCTCACCACTAATAACAATGAGGTTCATTTGGAACGGTACCATATATTGTCTTAGTTGAAATTTGATAAAGAGTCACAAAAAGTGGCGAACACACTTTTTTTAATTTCAGATTTTGATTCAAAACAATGCAATATTCCATTTCAAAACAAATACTCTACAATGGATTCACTTGAAGAATTCGGCCATGGAACTTGAACACTGACCATCTTATCCTCATAACCAAACTTCACACTCACCCCATCAACCATGCAAGCGACCGGCTTCTCCGAAGCAAACGACTTCATTTCCCCACATCCTCTAACTCCGATTTTGACCTTATTTTCATCATCATCAACTTCCATAGACTGAATTGCACCGCCAGTGTTATGCATGTTCACCAACCCAATTGCGGCAAATTGGACTAGTTTTGTGGGCAACACCATCAGTGGAGAAATAGTGAGGAGCTCAAAACAGAAAGGCTCAAGTGAAACCTCTATGCTCTCTGTAGGCTTTAGCAGCTTCAGCTTCTTTTCCTGGAACATGTAAACTGCAAACACATTTACTCCTTCAGTGGGAACTGGGTTTCCCCCTGCTTTCCATTCAACGTCCTTAGGGGTCGCCGAGCAGGTTACCAAGCGTGAAAACCGCGAAGCGCTCTTGTTCCGCCGCGATTGGGGGCACCATCCTCCTCCTTGGCAGTTGAAGAGTCCCAAAACTCCTGTGTACTGTTTGCATATATACAAGAAAACAAACAAATGAATTAGTTAGCCAAAAATATTGCTTTTCAAACCCCCCCCCCCCAAACACCACGTTTCATTATAAAAGACCTTGTTGCACTTTCCCCCTAAACTTTTGTAAATTATCTCTAAAATTTTTAATTTTAACAATTAACCCCTTAAATGTGTCAAATTGTTGCACCGTGTCTCAAATTGATATTTCCGTCACTAATTTTAACGGCATTATCAATTTGGCCAAACTGCAGCTGTACGATAAGTTTAGGGGGTTTATATTCAAATTCAAAATCCACAAAGAAATTTGCGAAAAACGAAAAGTTTAAGGAGTTTGGATTATGGTGCCAACAACCCCACTCAATTCAAACAATGTAGTCCAAGAGTTTTAACTAGTGTTCCATTTTGAAAATGGATTAGGATATACATTCTACTATATAACTGTTCTCTAAGATAGTGATGTCTTATATATATACCTTGTTGAGGTTCCAAATCTTGAGCATGGTTTTCCCATCATGTAAAGGGTCTTCAAAAAGGCAGTCTCTTGTCGGAAGTGCATAGTACTGGCATCTCAGAATAGTCCCATCTGGTAAAGCTAAGCTTTTGAGCAACTTGAAGTTGTGGCTTCCCACGGAATCACTCACATAAATTGGCCCTCCAGAGATAGCCCTTGAAGCGGCATGGAATTCAGCACAAGGATGAGTTGATTGGAACATGTCCCAATCCGGGTGTATGAAATTCCCCATCCAAAGACTATTGTAGGCGCAGTGCACCATGTGACACCCTTGTAGCCAAAACGTACCGTTTGGATCCCCGGATGGGTCTACGCACCAAAAATCATCTCCTATATATACAAGTATTGAAACCCAACATTGACATTATTTTACTTTAATAATGTTCAATTTTAATATGTCAAAAAAATTATAGAGAAATTCGAATAATTAGATAAATTAATAGACTTATTACCAACACGTCCAAGAGCTATGGCCTCTGTTCCCAGGAGCATAAAATCGTTGCAATGCTCCATACTAGCAATGACTCCATTGCCTTTAAAATGTTTCTTCACAGAAGCGGTTAGTGCCTTGTAATAAGCTTTCGCTAGCTCAACTCGGCCACCATAGTCCTCGGATAGCATCTCAAGCAACTGCACCAAAGCAATTGAATGCGTAATTAAGCAGAGACTAGTTAATATGCAAAAATGGTGTTTCGAAACAAATAAGTGACAGATAATTAACGTTTTTATATAAGCTGTGTGAAACTTCTGACTCAATTTAAGTCGAATTGGGATACTTGAGCTATTTGCAAAACTGGCACCATAAACAGAAAATACTTGGCCAAAAAAGAATCAAACCTCAGGAGTAGCAAAAGGGCATCAAGATATGCGTCCCGAGCATGTGAAGATTCATTAAAAAATAAACGTCAGCAGAACACCGTAATTAATAGAAAATTGATCTCACATAATCTATGTACTTTAGATTGTTCGTGTTTGGTATTGATCACGGTGGTGCCTTAGATCCATTAGTAATTCCAATTCATTATTCATAAACCTACAAGTACACATTTCAAAAAAGCAAAAATAAAAAGGAAAAAGAAAATCCTAATAAGTCAATTAATAGGAAGGTCCTTGAACTCACCTATAGACACCAGCTTTGGACACAGAAACGACACAAGACTACTGGTTGAGTCGTGTGAATTCTTATCCTGTACATCTTTGCTTCTATTCTTTCAAATTCCAACTAATACTTAAAACAAGGGGAATCTAACGCTGACATTTTCACAATCTAGTTACCTAGTAGCAAGCTAGCCATTGTAAATCATCCAAAGACACCAAAAACATGTTCCACATCATCAAAAGTCCACTTCCAAAATGCCACAACACATTATTTATCCGTTATTAATCTCCAAATTCACTAAATCACACGTGGCGTCATCATGATGTGGACACGTATATTAAAAAGCCTTTTCTAATTAAAAATGTTTCTGACACAAAAATTGTTCCCATTTCACAAGCTAAACCTTGAAACACAGAACACCCAAAAATAAAACCCCCTGACCTTCTAGAGACCTCCATGTAACTTACAAGCTCGTTAATTTATTGATTTAAAATTTTAATTTAAATTAAGGTATGATTTTATATAAATTTATTAAAATTAAAAAATTAAATATAACTATATTTAAAAAAAAATTACGATCATAACATATTTAGCATCCAGACATTGAAAAAGCAAAGTGAGGTAGTTTGGAGAACTTACATGTATCACATCAACCTTGACACCATCAATCCCCACCGACTCAAGATGCGAGTGGAGCCCCTCATACATTTGGTGGGCCATCTCCGGTGGGACCAACCCGACCCCATTACTCACAATCTTATCCACCGCCAGATCCTCCATCGTGGCCTCCAATCCCTTCGACAACTTGGGCCCCACCACCCTACTCTCCGGCATCCCAGACACACCGGGCCTAATCCCGCCCCAATACCCACACAACGCGTGCCACACATAAACCTCCTCAACCGTCCCAAACTCCTCCTTCAAGTCCCTCACAAACCCACCCATTCCCTTGCGGGTCCCACATTTGGGACTAACATAGTCCCGGAACTTGTGATTCTCCTCAAATTTTATCAGCCTGCACGGCATCTGCGCCCCCGCAGCCGTCCGATTCATCCCTTCCTGATCATCAGAGATCGAATCCTCATCATGAGCGATGGACTGCCAGCCGTCGTCGATCAGGACCATCCCGGGAGGGGTCCCACCCTCCGAGAGGGCTCTCACGCCTTCCCACACGCCCTTAGGGTGGACCTTCAGGTAGAACGCGTCCCACGTGCACCACCCGAACTTGTCCACGATTCTCGGCGGGGTTTTCTCCTCCATCAGACGGAACGTGCCCAAATGGACTTTGACCACCCTCATCGCCTCTTTGACCAGACCGTACGGGTCGTACCCCACGTGCATGTACACGCAGCTCCGAAAGCTCGAGGACGCGACACGTGTCGAGCCGCTCTCGACGCAGGCGTCCACGTGGTCGTCCCTCCCGGCTTGAAGCGAGGCTCGGAAGGGGCCCTCCAGGGTCGGGAGGATCAGAACGTAAGGGCGCGATCCGTCGTCGTTTTTGTCGAGGATCATCATCTGGGTCTCGGTCTCCAAATCTCGGCCGTTGGATCCGACCCAGTGGGTGGTCCACCAGACCTTGAAGCGGAATATGGACATGAATCTTATTCCCCGGAGCTTGCCGAGGGAGGCCACGTGGCGGCTGCTGGGGAAGCCGGCGTCGAAACCCACGAAGCAGCCCACGGACATGTTGTTGGGCTTGGCGTTGTTGGCCGAGGAGGACATGAAGGGTGATGGGGTGGCGACGACGTTGGGAGGGACGTGGGTGAGGATGGGGTGGCCATTGGCCAGGAATTCAGTTCCTTGGAGAGTTATTGACGTGGCGAAATTGTCACCGTCCATCACCCCCATTACGTCCAGGGCGTTCTTGCTTATGCTCGGCGCCATAGCTAGTTTGGTCTTTTCAAGTTGAGTATATTTGTATTACTACAAGCACAAACAACCTTGTAATGGAGAATTTACGTGCGTATATACTAAGATTTTTATGAAGTTTTTGTCTTTGGAGAGAGAGAGAGAGAGAGAGAGGTGGTTTGGTAGTTGGGTTTTTAGTGTGATTTGAGCAAGTGAGAGGATAGTGGTTTATATAGAGTTTGGAATGAGGTAAACGGTAGAGTCTAGAACATCGCCATTTTTACTACGTGCCATCTTTCGGTTATGGTTTTGCGCAAGTATGAGAAAGAAACAATGCACAAGTTGTGTACGTAGGGGCAAAAATGTCTTTTCATCTCAAGCAGCGCTCTCCTCTTTATTTTTCCCCTAATTAAGAAATGAACGGTTTAACTAAAGGTTAAAAGTAAATAGTTGCCGGAAATCTAGTGAAGGGGACATGTAGGTGTAGCGTAATATATTAAATGTGTGCCTTTACTATACTTTACTGCTTTTACTTTGGGCATAATTGACTATCATAAGTTATTTAGTTCGCTAATTTGAGTTAAAATGTAATTTCATATATAAATTTTTTACTGTATTAAAAAAATTAAATGTGATTTTTTAAAAAAATTTAAAAAAACTCGAATTCTAAATTCGAACCGGTAAAATAAACGGGACCTAATTCTCTTTTCCTTCCATTTAGCTTCTTTGTTGTTAAGAGCTTCTACTTAATCAATGTTCAACTATGAAAAGCAGTTAGCTCAAACAGTTGTGTGCATAAATGTATGCGCCTGTCCTTCAAAATTCGAATGCGGATGATTTTGTTACTCTGCAATATTCAAACAAATGGCAACCTCAGTTGGGTCCATGCAGTTTGAAAAACACATCAAAAGCTAACTTTTCTTTATTATTATTTTCCTATTTACGTCTCCTTAAAGTACGTTAGTCTGGTTTCTCGGCCTTCTTTGCTTTTCTAGATGTTTCTTGAGCTTCTTCTTTACTCTCCTACTCTTTCGCAGCTTGATTTTCGGGAGAAGCTTCGTCGACCGCGAAATTTTGGCAAAAGATTCTTTTCTTTTTTTTTTTTTTTTTCTTCCTTTGGCCTTTTATCTCTATATTGATATTTTTCTTTCTTCGTAACTTTCTTTAAATTGCCCGTGTTTACGTTATTTTACATATATGGTGTACATATGAAGCACATGATTTCATTTACTATCTGTATTGATTTTTTTTTCTTTCTTTGGGAATTTCGTTACATTGCCCACGTTATTTTATGTGTGGTGTATATACCATTTCACCGATTCGAATTTTATTACAATAAAAAACTTTCTGAATCAGTCACATTTAATTTTTTTACTATAAAAAAAATTCTCACATAAAATCGCATTTCAACTCGAATTAAAAACTCGAATCAATGAACTAAACGGCCCTATAAAACACGTGATTTCGTTGTGTCTACGAGACAAACACGGGTGATTTTCCTTCACTAGATTTTTTTTTTCTCCTTAATCAATAAACAAATCTCAGAGATATTTTTTGTTCTGATTTTTCATCAAGATTAAATTACCACATACTCTTTCTCTTTTGTTATATATCAGCTTCAATAATTAGCAATTATTGAATTGAACACGATGACATTGTACGTTGAATTAGCAATTTTAGCATTGCATATACTTTTGGGGTAATATATCCAATTTTCATGAGACAATGAAGAACGTTGTCAACAATGTAACATAATTGCTTCCACAAAAGTGTCGGAGCCAGAAACTTTTTTCGGAGGGAAGTGGGTTAAACCGTTCTTTTATATTTTTAAGTTATGGTGACTTGAGTGATGATTTTAAGTTAAGTTTGAGTTATAACTTAAGTTGAAGTTGTAATTTGAGTTTGTGTTTAAATGTGCACATTTGAGTTATGATTTGAATTGAGAATCTTGGTGCGTTTGGTTGGTGTATTCGTGTCATGATTTGAATCATGATTCGTAGTTCACTACAGTATTTTCTCTCACAAAAAATACACGTAAATCGATAATAGTTCTGAATCATGATTCTGAATCCATGAACCAAACGTCCACAAGAGTTTGTGTTTGGGTGGGTCAAAGGTTAAATTTATATTTATATAGTATTTTAATAAAAACTCAATGGTGATGAAAAATTTTAATAAGGTATAAGGGTGAGGTTTTATTCGTCTTTTCCTTCTAAATGCATAGAAAAAAAATCATCTCAATCAGAATTAAAACGAAAAAGTTATGACATTTTTAATAATAGAAAAAATATTGTTCATTAACTTGAGTTCGAGTTTATGAACTCAAGTTGAAGGGAAAACTCAAACTCGAGTTTAGCCTCAAACTCGAGTTCAAACTCAAATTTTATAAAATAACATGAACTTAAATAAAGTTATAACTCGACTTCAAACTTTTTCTGAGTTTCGTTGTAAAAAATAACTCTTAAAATTTTAAAGAAAAATAATTGTCTAGCCGTTTTTTTTTTTTTTTTTTTTTTTTTTTTTTTTTTTTCTTTTATTCAACTTATTCAAACCTCTAATAGTGTTAATTCACTTTCTACAGTTTAAAGTTTACAAAATTATTAATTTATATAGTAGTATATTTATTTTGTTTTTTGCTTCCGGATTTTAAGTTTGAATTATTAGTGTACTAAAGGGTTAAAAATTATGGTATAATCTAAATATTTAAAAAGTTTTATAAATATGAATATACATAAAATTAAAATCTGGGTTCTCTAAAATAATTTGGGAGATAATTGAAAATATTTTAGAAATAAAAATAAAAACTGTAATTATAAAATTTCAGGGGGACTGGGCCTCCCTCAAGTGTCTCCGCCCCTGTCCACAAGCAAGGAAATAAAAATTTAAAAGAAAAAAAAACAATGTAATATCATTTGGAAGTTGGAAATTTCACAAACAAGGAAATTAAAAAATTAAAAAAAGAAGAAGAAGAAGAAGAAGAATGTATCATTGGAAGTTGGAAACTTCTTGTTATAAAATGTATATATAATGTATTTGGGGACAGATGCAATGTGATTTGCGTCATCTTGGTAGCCAGCTGCTTTTTTATCCAATAATTTATTACATGCAATATATAAGATATAATCCCCGTTGTGGGTCATCTTCTACTAGAAAATTCCAAAGAGTTCTCGTTATATATATATATATATATATTAGTTTATTTCTTCTACGACTTTTTGATCTGTTAAAAAACAATCATCTGCTAGTGTCACCTCTCCTGTAAATATATTAGCAACTTTGATTATTACGACAGGTAATGTTGAATTTTTAAAATCATTTTTAATTTGTCTCTTAAATTTTTAAAATTTTTATTTTACCTTTTAAATTTTATATTATTCTTACTTAACCTCTTCTATTAAAATTTCTTAAGATAAAAAAAAAAAAAGAGAATAATCTAATCGTACGGTATTTTTATTTAAATATCTATTAAAGTAAATATATAAAACTACATATGATTATACTTAATTTTTTTTTAGGTCTAACATTAGCAAAATATTCTCATAAAAGAGACTTAAATGGGATTAATTTAAAATTTATAAAATAAAGTGAGAATGAGATTAAAGTTTAGGAATAAGATTAACCCTAGAAACTTATATATATATATATATATGTATATATGTTGATCTCTCACTCGAACGACATGTCCAAAGATCATATTGAAGAACGAAGCGTTGCATATATACGACAAAGAGATAAACCTAAATTTTGTCATGTGTAAAGAGCGACCCTGTTTTAGTTTTGGGATAATTTGGGCTCTTGTCTCAGCTCCCAATCAACCCAACTCACAACACTATCTAACGGCTTCTTCGCTTTAAAAATAAAAAATTTAAGGCTGTTCTTTTGTAACGAAACTCGTGAAAAATTTAAATTCGAGTTATAATTTTATTTAAATTTATGTTTTTTTTAAAATTTGAGTTTGAATTAAGTTTAAACTCGAGTTTGGGGTTGTTCTTTTACAACAAAACTTAGAAAAAGTTTAAACTCAAGTTACAACTTTATTCAAGTTCACGTTCTTTTAAGTTCCAACTGTATTCAACTTTACTCAACTTTATTCAAGTTACAACTTTAACTCAAGTTATAACTCAAATTCAACTCAAAAACTACACGCAAATTACACTCCAAAAGAACAACCCTCTCTCTTTTAACTCGAGTTCATAAACTCGAACTCAAGTTAATGAATAATATTTTTTCTATTCTTACAAATGCAATAACTTTTTCGTTTTAATTTTAATTGAGATGATTTTTTTTTCTATGCATTTACAACGAAAAAACGAATAAAACCCCACCCATATACCTTATTAAAATTTTTCATCATCATTGAGTTTTTATTAAAATACTATCTAAATACAAATTTAAATTTTGACCCACCCAAACACAAACTCAACAAGATTCTCATTTTAAATCATAACTTAAATGTGCACGTCCAAACACAAACTCAAGTTACAACTTTAACTCAAATTACAACTTTAACTCAAGTTATAACTTAAACTCAACTCAAGATCATCACTCAAGTTACCCTAACTCAAAAATACAAAAAAACAACCCATTAGTGTCTGAATTTAAATTTTTATCAATTATTTTTAATAAATATTTTTTTATTAATGTAATTATTTAATTAATTTTTACTTTTAATCTTTATTTTTAATAAATATTTTTTTATTAGTGTAATTATTTAATTAAAAAAATTTATCAATTAAAGCGTAAAGTCAAAATCCTTTGCTCGTCAAACTTTGCCTAAGAAAAACAGAGAGGGAAGCAAAGCACATGCCGGGTTCTAACAGTCACCCATGGAGTCCGATTCACCAAATTCTGAGAACAGCGATTCCTTGTTTGTTTGGGACCAAAGCTCTCAGCTTTACTTCCATGCCAGGTTCTCTCTCTCTCTCTCTCTCTCTCTCTCTCTATATATATATATAGAGAGAGAGAGAGAGATACGTATATATATTTGTATATTGTTTCTTTATATATTTCTTTAATGGATTTTAATTCAAACTGCAGTAGTGGATTTTATCACGACCCAAACGCCGGTTGGTACTACAGCAGCAGAGATGGTCTCTACTACAAATTCGAGGATGGAAATTACGTACTTCTTGATTCAATTAAGGTTTCAATTTCCTTTCTCTCTTCATTTTTTCTGATTTTTCACTATTTTTCCTATCTTGATTTTTTTTGCTTTCTTGATTATTTTCTGAGAATAATTAGCTACAGAGCTTCCTGGTTTGATTGCCACTTTGTTTTTTTGTTTTTTTTTTGGCAGAGTGATGAATGTGAAATGTCTCAGAGCGAAGAAACTGGTACTGGGAATTCAATCGGAAATGAATTGTGTGAAAAACGTGTAAACGACACTGAGAATAGCTCATTCTTGCATGGAGATGAATCTGAAATTGACGCTAACCAATGTGAAGGAATTGGTAAAGACAAACCAAATTCTGGTAAGAGCCATTGTTATTGTGTAAAATGTCGTTGTTTTGGTTATAATTTGGATGGAACTTGCAATTTCAATTACGGTGATCTTTGATGTTTCTTATAATCTTGAGCCCTAGTGTTACAATCTCAAGTATTTTTTTTTTTCCTGAGTTTATTTGGTTCAGTGAGTCAAGGAAGTTGTAGGAGTTACCACTACCAGTAATGAGAATCTGATCTTTTGTTATTTGTTTGGTTCTAATACATGTTACTGGGTAAATGTGCCTGTTTTTTATAAGACAAGATGAAATTATCTTGTATTCACATCAAGGAATCGAATAGGAAAAATACACACACAATTATGATTGTTTCGGCATTATTGTACCCGGAGATTTAGGTTCTTAACAGACCTAATTATGGATGCTGATGTTCTTTTGAAAAACTTAGCATCTTATTTTCTTATTTAGATAGACATCTGTATTGCTCGATCGTTCTTTTGGGTGTCTCAATACATTAAATAGTCTTTTTTTTTTCTTTCAGGAAATATGGAATGCAGAAGAAGTCATTCACCTGAGAATCCCCCACCTCCATCAGAATGGTGTGCAGAATGTGTGGTTGTTTATCCATATTGTTATCACCATTGATACAAAATCAATTTGCTAACTGTAGTTCTTCACTGTTCTTAAGGTTAGAAGATACGCTTATTGATCTTTATTTGTCTGGCTATTCAAACAAAGAAGTCCACGATGGTGCTGACAAGACAACTTCCTCAAAAGCAAATGAGGTGGAGAAGTTAGAGTTTCAAGCCGATGGTTTGTCCTTCTCTCCTCTACATCGTTGGTTAAGTATCCATATGACGAGAACAGAACGTTGAATGGACTTGTTTGATTGGCTCCAGGGGATAATGATACATACGAGTTAGAGGAAGGCGAATGGATTCCAGATGACCCTCATGACATAACTCATTCAAGTGAACACATATCAGCTGAAGGTATTTTTGTTTTGTATTATAAGATTTACTTTAAGGAATCAATTTGTTTAAGTTTTGGGTAATGCATTAGCAATGGAGCTTAAGCTTAACACATAAGAATCTCATCGACACAGGTGCTTCATGGGAAGAAGAGAACTGGAGAGCTCAATATGGTCAAGTCATTCGATCTTCAGAAGAGCCAATCCCAGAGGTCCCTACTGTGGATTTGTGGGATTGGTCAATGGTTCAGGGGTCTAGAAAAGATGGAAAAGGTGAGACTGCCAAGCTTGTGGGGAGACTGATGAGGAAGTCCGCTAAGCTTCATCCCTCGATGCCTTCTGGTGGAGGTCTTCTAAGAACTGCTCCAATATGTGAAGTGCATCACAATCTGGTACGAGTTAAATCAGGTTAGCCTTCCTTCCATTTATTTGACAATGCATAGAGTGTTTGCTTGATTCATGAAAGATCGTTTATTTGGTTATATACTCTGTGTGGTTGCTGTATGGCATTAAGAACGGTTATAATTTATCAGATCTCGTACACTCTGCATCTACATGTTTATATGTGGTTACAGAATTTGAATTTGTATGGCTGATTTATTTTTCTGTGCTAGGGCAAATATATCGGTTGCAGAATCCTAGTGCAAGATTCTTAGCTTCCCTGTCAGCCTACGATTCTTCTAACCCAACCAAGGACTGGGGGTTTCCTGAATTATCATTTCACGAACAATCTCTTCCCCTCTCTAAGTCCAGGGGAAAAGCTGACTCAAAAACTGCATGTGAAGATTTAGTTGGGAGTGATTTGCCTCCGTCGGAATATCAGCTCCCTTCATTTGAAAAGGTAACTTTGATCATCAACTTAATTCGTGGCTGAACTTTACCTGTTCTTGTCGGGCTCTTCTGGCTTAACAGTCCATGTATCTATCACAAAACTGTAACCACAAACTCAGAAGTAGTTGCCTTTGAACTGTAAGCAATATCATGTTTTGTGCCTGGAAATTCATCTTTCTATCTGTGTGTGTGTGTGTGTTTCCTTTTTTTCGCCTTTTTTTCTCGACAGTAACGTTCCTTTTGTCCAACTGCCAGAGTAGAAGCTATTCATATAGGGACAGAGCTGCTGAGAGAAGAGCATTGCATGGTGGTTTTGGTGTTGCTCCAGGACAAAAGAATTCTATGGTCGATCATAACGATTGTTCATCGTCATCTGTTTCAGCCTCCACAGAGGAAGCTGCAGCCGAGGCTTTGAACATATCATTTGGAGCTGGCAGTTATGCCCAAAAAATCCTTAAAAACATGGGCTGGAAGGAGGTAAATCCAATTAACTTATTGAAATTTCCAGAAACTTTGTTTATTGGAGAACTGAAATCAGTTATCCATTCATGTCCAAAATTAAATTGCACTTTACATTGTATCACGGGGATTTACCACTATCCGTTATCCATTCATGTGCAAAATTTATTTTCCTTGTTTTGCTTAATGCTTACTTCGTTACGCTTCCGCTACATCATTATTACCATCCAATCTCACCCAGTTTCTCTGCCTCTCATTTACGATGCGGCCAGGGGGAGGCATTGGGAAAGACTACAAAGGGCTTGATCGAACCGCTTCAAGCAGAAGGAAATATTGGCAATGCTGGATTGGGGTGGCCTAGGGGAAGATCAAGACATTAATGAGATAGATAACATGCATTTTCACCATATTTTTGTCCATTTTTTTTCCTGTTCATTTTCTTCTTTTTTTCCTGAGTTTTTGTGCTGCTCATCAGAATGTATACAAGGGCAACTTGAATGTATGGTGTATAAGAAAGAGCCTCAAGTTATGTTCTTTTCTTTTCTTCCTGAGCAACAGTATCCCATGATCGACTTTCTTTTATTTATTATTATTTTTTTTTTTAAAAAGCCCACATTTTATAGACTTTTCAGTCACTCTTTTTAATAAATGACTGAACTTTTTATTTTTTTAGACAAATGCCCGAATTTGTTTTAAGGGAAAAAGCTGAATCAATAATAAACCATAGCCAATCAAGCTACCATCAATTTTTCAATAATTAATCACTAATTTATATTAATTAATCAATAATGAATCATCAAGTTAATTAATTATAAACTAAAGTTAATCAAAAAATGCTCATTTTTCCAATTTAATGGACTTTTTCTGATACACTAATTTACCGATAGATTAAGGTCTCGTTCATTTCACCGATTCGAGTTTTCAGTTTTAAGTTTTTACAGTAAAAAATTCTCAAAAAATATCACATCTAACTTTTTCTGCTATAGTGAAAAACTCTCAGAAAATGTCACATCTCAGCTCGAATTGAAAACTCGAATCCGCGAAATGAACGAGACTTAAGTTTTCTATTTGTTAAATTTATATAAAATCACGTAAAAATTAAAAAATATACAGATCTAATAGTTAAAAAAACTTAACTATCGGGGCGTATAAGAGAATCTTCCTTTAATAAAACTTAGGCCATCTTCTAAATAAGACCTTAAAAACAATCACCAAATCCCTTCGTGAAAAGTGTTAGATCCATTGATTGGCATGAGTTTTGATAAGACATTTTGTCCTGCGACTTGATACCTAACCATGTTTTACCAAGCCACTTTGGAAATTATTGTAAGGAACCATCAATCACCAGATGATGAGCCATCCTACCTTGTAGGATTGCCTCGGTGCCTACATTACAAATTTTGGTTAAAAAGTACGACAAAAAATATAACTAATGTTTAATGTACAAATAACAAGGAGAGAGAGAATAATATTCTACAAAATTCCGCCAAGTTTATATATTTCAGTTATCAGCTTCGCATTAAGTCAATTCAGTCTTAATTTTATCAGATGGTGAATCAGCTTTCTCCTCTATTGAACTTCTCTGTTGCAACTCTTGTTTAAGCTTTTGGATCTCCTGGTCCTTCTCTTCCAGCTTCTCTTGCATTATAAGCACCTGAATAAAAGATTCTTTTTAAGTATATCATGTAAATGCATAATTTCATGTCTGTCTGATGCACTAGTTTTGGTGTCAGAATTATCAATATAAATGAAGCCAAATCGCATAATAATCACTGCCCAAAATCTGGATGATCATAGAAAAAACTAATTACGCAAATCTAACTCAACAATAGTGCATTTTTGTACCAGCCAAAATGATCCCTAAACTACACAATGCCAGTTTCAAATATATGGCAGCTGAGCTAATGGAATATAACCACAAGTGAACAGCAGATGAAGTGAATAATTTACAATTTGTAAAGTTGTGTTGAATTTGATGCTATATTTGATGTTGGGACGAATGGGTCGTCATTTGGCGCAGCTGTGGTATTTTTAGTTATGGTTTACTTTGTCGTTTGGTAGTAAAAGAGTATATGTACTCTTTTTCCTAATGAGGTTTTAGACTGGATAATTGTAATTTTAAGCAGCTTGCTTTCTTCCAATACACAGAGAGCCTGTTAATGGAACTATACCGGGAATTGGTTTACTCTTCACTTTCCAGCCTTTAATCTCCATTTTACTGACTTCTACGTTAATATTAAATTGAACTAATAAATGGACGGAAAGAAAAAGGTAGAGAAATAATTACCATTTCATTTGATCTTTCCACATCATTTGTTAGCCCCTCCATCTGTCTGTACAGTCCTGTAAGATAAAGCGGACGAAAGGATTACTAAGTCATGGTTGACATTACGTTTAAAAGAAGCAGCAATCTCACTCGAAAGATGTTAAAGGTTACTAAGAATACCATACGATAGGATCAACTTTGTAGAAACTGTTACGGAAGCAACAATATTATGGAGGAGATTTTAACTCTTCTTTAGAGACTTGAACTCGCATATTACTGACCTTCAAATTGATTTCTGAGTTCTGCATTTTGGGATTTCTGCAAAGCAAGTTTCATAGCCAAATCATGCATCTGCGGAACAATAACACAAATCATATAAATTAGATGATCCGTCTGAAGTAACAACAGATAATTAAGAGGATACAAAATTGCTCCAAGAATAGAGAAATCACATTTGTTCACCAAAAACGACTGGTTTATTTACTCACAATTTTTCACATAATTCCGGATATTGGAACAACCCCAGCCTTAAAAACAACACTCTAAAGTAACACCAGTAAGGCAGTAACATATAAAATAAGGCAAACGCAGTGACAGCACCTTTCCCTCAGCAGCTTGATTTCCAATCTCCTCATTTTCCTCTTGCAAGGTCCTACATTTAGCCATCAGCATCTTTCCCATCTTGCTTTGAGGGGTAAATTGGACAGCAGCAATATTATCCTGCAACTCCTTCACTTTCTTGTCCTTCTCCTCAACTAAATTCTGAAACGCATCACAGAAAGTACAAATTCAGACTTAAAACCTGAATATGAGCATATATAATATTTTAGGTATCACCAGTAATCTTAAGGTTATTGCATGCGTCAAGTACTACAGACCTTTAAACGTGTAAACTCTTCATGGATTGCTGGATCTAGTAACAACCTCCTTGCCTGCAAGAATTAGCCACATAAGAAATTCATGAGCAAAGTCCAAAGATACAAAAGAAGAAAAAAAAAAAGGCAGGGAGGGGTGGTGGGGGGGAACCGAAACGACTTTAAGATCCACCGCACCAATAATGCGGAGACCAGATACATTCTCTTCATAGAAAAAGAAGAAGGAACAAATTGCCCTGCCCCCTTTGGTAGTTATGAACTTAAGAAAACTTTCATTGTTAGGAGAACCAAAAATGTCAATAATGAACTTCTAAAATTGGCAATTAAAAGATAAAATAAGCAAAAGATTATAGCCTTTAAGCCAGTGAATCCACTATTAGAGAAATCTACTTAGATGGACTACAGTATTAGGAATCACCTGCATTGATGGTGGCTTCAGTTGTACTCTCAACTCTCGAACTGAACTCTGTGTAGTCAACAATAAACTTGGTGTCATACAAAACATAAAAAATTATAATTCAAGGAAGGAAAAAAAAATCAGCTGTTTTTTGTCAAGTAACGGAGTTAAGGTAGCAAGTCTTTGGTTTAAAAAACCAAGCTGCAGGAGTGTGTGTGTGTGTGTGTGTGTGTGTGTGTGTGTGTGTGTGTGTGTGTGTGCCACTTTTTAAAAATAATAGTGTCCTTAAGGTGGCATACTCTTGTCATATCATTTTGCTTTATTTTTCTGTAAATAAAAAGTTCTAACCAACTGAATATGCAAAATCATGGACACACTCTAAAAAGAGTCAATCTGTGTTATCACATGCATACAACATCATCTACAAGAAAAAGACAAGCAAAGAGAACTCACCTTCAGCTCTGCTATCTCCTGCTCTCGTTTTGCAAATGTCACTATGAATGCAGCTTCCTTCTTTTTTGCTTTTTCTAACTAAATAAATGTGAGAGAAGAAAGTAGAATTATGATGCATGAAAACATGAATCCGCATGTTTATTGATAAAAAAAACAAAGGAATATCCAAGATTAAACCTGTTCTCGCAAGGACTCCTCAGAGCTCTTCAGGCTCTGAAGGTAATTGATTACCAGTTTAGGTTCTGCACAAGAAACGCCAAAATCAACGTTTTTGGATTTAATGGGGGTTAACTGTGGTAGAGCACATATATGAAGCACACAATAGCATGGCATAAAATACAAGAAAACCCCAATATTCTAAGATGAGGCTGACCAGGAGTAGTCCCCATAGGTATGAAGGATTCATTCTGAAATGCAGAATGCCACCTTTGAATCTCAGATTTTGCCGCCTCAAGTTCCGTCTGAAGAAAAATTTGTTTAAATTAATAAACAATAGCTGTTCCGGCAAATGGAATTTGCAACCAGATAATATTGTGAAAATTAATGCGTACTTTGTATGTTGCAAGGTTGTCTTTGCAATTTTGAAGACTGCAAGAGAAAATCGAAGAACGATATATAAACAGTAGATCTAATGAAGTTAAAAAGTAATGCATCTAATCATCGCACAGCACTTAAACATAAGAACTTTGAGACCTTAAGATACCTTTCACGAAGAGACAGTATCATTCCTGTTGCTACCCCAGGAGCAGTTTCTTCAACTTTTGAGTTAGCCTGCGTGTAATAAATAAACTGTCATAAGTCCTCAACCAAACTTTTTCAACCCAAAACATGACGGTCATCATTCAAACTCCCACCATCTTCGACCATAACTATCATTTTTCGTCGTCTTCACCACAACAATCAAAGCTTTTTTCTTCCACTGCTCAAATTAGATTTAGACCACGTCAAAATCCACAAACAAATTTCCAAAAAATTCTCTCAACTTCACACCTATTTATATCAGCATTGTTGTGAATAACCAAAAATTAAAAAAAAATCTAGCTTTGATATGTTTTAAACTTTTCATCTTTTACAACAATACAAATTCTACCATAACTAAATTGGCATTTTTTGCCGTCTTCAATACAACAACTAAGGCTTTGATCTTGCATTACTTAAATAAGACCACATCGAATCACGAACGAACTTCCAATAAAGTCTCACTTCCATGCCTATTTATATGAGTCAATAACTAAAAAGGAAAAAAGATTCTAGCTTTGATATGTTTTCATCTGTCACGACTATACAAATTCTCGTAATTTTTCTACTTAAGAGGAATTGCATACGACTTAGTAAATACAAATTCGACGAAATTCTCGCAAATAATCATTCGTATGTCGCTAAAAAGAGTACGAGAACAACTTCAATACCTTCTTCGAGCCAAAAAAGTCGTCTTCATCGTCCTCGAGGTCCCCAAATCCTCTCTTGTTCCCTAAATTTTCAACCAAAATCGAAAAAACAAACAAAAAGACCGAAAATCAGCGAACAAACTGGTACATTAAGAGCCGAAATTCGAATCCGAGGAAAGAGAAACTAACCAGAACGCCTGGAACTGTGAGCTCCAGGAAAATCGCCGCCGAAATCATCGTCCTGAATTTTCAGAATCCGAATTCAGAAATAGCGGAAAACAAAACCCTAGAGTTACAGAAACGAGAGTAGAAACAGTACAATGGCTAAGGGATAGAGACTTACGTCGTCAATATGGTTGTGGGATGCCATAGAAACGCTGGTAAAGCTCTCGGGATTTGCTTCTCCAGAAATCGGAAGTAGACCAGTGAGGGCTCAAAGGGTTCATACGAACAGGAAGAAGAAGAAGAGGAAGTGTGGGTATCAGGTACATGCAGTTCCATGCTATGGTTTTGTTATTATGGGCCTGAGATCTTAGTCCATTAAGGTAGTTTGTACCCAAAATGTGTAGCCCATTAATCTTAGCCCGGTTAGAATTGTAGAGTTCTGGAACTAAAGTTTAGGGAAGTAATTACATAAAATAAAACCTCTACTGAATGTCTACTTTTATACAATATTACAGAAATATCCACTTATCCTAAATAAGGAATATTTTATACCAGATTTATCCTTATGGTTTATTTTGAGCATGTTTCATGTATGGTATTTTTTTTTTATAATAATATAAGAATATTTTTTCTGATTATTTTAAGAATTTGACTTTCCTTTTGATCTCATTTAATATTTTGTTATCAATTAAATTGATTTATTCTTGATATGGTATTTTAAATTAGGAGTTTCTCTCCCCCTTGTTAAAAAAAAAAAAAAAAAAAAATCGTTGCATTTTGTCCGCAGGCATTTGGTCTACCCGCCTTAGTTGCTTAAAACACTCGCTTTCCTTTTTCTCTCCTCATAAATTTAATTTCTAAACGCAAATATGTGACATGAGTTCTATTATTGATGGTGATCTCTATGTTCGTATTTGAATTATCTAGCTTCAAAGTTGATCTTCGTTGGGCAACTAAGAAGAGGTGCAAGAGAGAAAAAGTTTGTAAAATGTAAGCCAATTTAATTTTCCTATGTACCACTTTATGTCATGAATTCAATTTCGTTTATTTTTCACTTCATGTTCATTCTTGTTTGTAACGATAATATCACTATAGTAATGAAATGTTTTCTTTATGCATTCATGTGTCGTGTATTTTTGTTATTTTAAATTTCTTGTAAACTTTTATATTCATTCTGTTTCATAATGATATACGTCTGTTAAAATAATAAAAATGCTTATTGATGGGTACATTTTTGTGTTTTTTTTTTATATATTATAAGTTCTATTTCATGAAGATATTATCATTATATTAATGAAAATGCATATTCGTTTCTTCATTATCATGTTTCTTATGTATTTTTACTTATGATATTCATTTTGATAATGAAGATTAAGTCATCACATTTATGATTTTTCATATTTTAAGAACTCGTCGGAGATAATTGTTATTTTGTTGCGAACTGTTATATTCATTCTTGTCTATAATGATATTATCATTACAGTAATGAAAAATCTCTTTATGAGTTCATACCTCATAATTGTAGTTTCAGATTTCGTACTCTGTTAAAATAATGAAAATACTTATTCTTAAATACATTTTTTGTGTGTCTTATGTTTTACAAGTTTGATTCCATAATGATATTTATCTTTATATTAATGAAAATTTATATTCATTTATACATTAACCGTGTTCTTCCGTATTTACAGATTGTGCACTGTTGTTTCTTTAGAGGACGATGGAGGTGCGGTAGAAGAGTGCCGTTTTTTTCCATTCCTTTTTTAAAAATTATGTGATGCTTTTATTGTTTTATTTAGAGAAACTTAATAAGCAACTTTCATTAAATGTAATATTCATATTTCATTTGACTTTTACATCTAAAATCAAATTATGATTTTATTTTGGAAACTTTCCTATTTTTTTTGCTTCATTATTTTTTCCCTTTTTCATTATATAATGATATAAACATCTTTGTGTATATGCTAGTGGATACTTTCGTAAATAAACAAATAGATAAGACATTTTTAGATTCAAGGTGCTCCAAATAGATGTTACTGTAAATAACCTAAACTTTAGGCCTCAACTACTCAGGACCTGTTTGGGAGAGCTTTCTAAACGCTGCGTTTGGCTTCTTAGGTCTAAAAGCTGCTTCTAGAAGTGTTTGGATGATCTGTTAAAAGTGCTATGGCTTTTCAGAAGAATTTTCAATCTAAGTCAGAAATTGTGAATTTTGAATAGACTTTAAAACTTGTACCAGACTTAAATTAAGACATTATAAACTTAATTCTAACGCTTTTATTGCTTATTAGAAAATTTAAAAATTATTTTGACCCATTAAACTATTTATTCTAAACACTTATTGAAAAGTCACAATTTTTATTTCTCTTCTTTTATTGGTTAAAAACAAAAGTAAAAACTCTGTCAAACAGACCCTTAACCAAGTTAAAGATGCCAGCTCCCAGTCCGATCTATTCTTCCTTCCTCCTTCCGACATAAACATCCTTAAATCCCCTGACTTTGTACTCTATCTTTACGTTTTAGACAAAATATTTATATTTTACAAAACTATGAATTTTTTATGCAATATTATACACTAGTCAAAAGCAAATTGTTGGGAAAATAAAAAGAGAAAGAAAAAAGAAAAGATGAAAGAAATGAAGATAAATGCAGAAAAAAAATTTAAAGTATAAGAGAGGGAAAAAAGACATGAAAGAAACCTTGTGTGAAGTATTACACACACTTTATTAGTGTGTAAAATGTTTCATAACTAAACTCAAAATTTACGAGGACAAAGAAAAAAATCTTTATGTAGAGACACATTTAAAAATAAATTATTTCAACAGAGTAATTAAGAAAATAAATAAATATTTTAAATAACCGTAAAAGAGTATTTAAATGAGTATATATTTAAAAACATATAGGAAAAAGTTGAAAGATGTAATAAAAAAGGTAAGGGACGGAAAAAGAAAAAGCAAAAGCAAAAACTTAGAAAAACCTTATAAAAAAAAAAGAGCTAAAAAAAGGGGAAAAGAAGCTAAAGAAAAGGGAAAAAAAAAAGAATAAGGGCTATTCTCACTTAGTAATTAGGAATAGATAATAATTATTTATCAATATATGTATGTATGTTAGGAAAAAAAATCATTTTGTTACCATGTGTTTATGCATATATGTATCTCGAGGGTACCCTATATTTTCATAAAATTAAGAGTTAAAATTATGTTGGTATCCTCTGTTACAGTAAAACATCTAACTGGTACTCTATATTTTGTATAATATTAAAATGATACGTTCACCTTTAAAGAAACATACGTTCTTTCAGTACTCTTAGAGCGATTTTTAGAATGTAAAATGTTCATTATACCGTTCTCACTCATTAACAACAAACTAATAATTTTTAAAAAAGTTAAGAAAATACTTTAAAACATTTAAAAATTAAAAAATCAAAATAAGTTAAAATGTTTTAAGAAAATATTTTTAAATTATTAGTCTCTATTTGATTAATGAAAAGGGCGGTTTGGACATTTTATGTCCTAAAAATGAGTCTCAAAGTACCGAAAAAATGTTTCTTTAAAGTTGAAGGTACCATTTTAATATTATTGAAAATATAAGGTATCAACGAGATGTTTCGCTATAAAAGAGAATACCCCTAAAATAAATAAAAAAAATACATGTTTTCAAAAGCGTCATTAGGTCCATTAATTTTTTTCACTCTCTCTCTCACTTTTTCTCCCTCTCCCTCACTTGTTATCTCTTCACCTCCCTCAATCTCTCTGACCTCTCTCTCTCTCTCTTCACCTCACTTAATCTCTTTGATATGTGTGTGAACGTCAACCAAACTCTGTTATCACGACCACCAGCCAAATTCCGTCGCAAACACCGACCATGTCGATCAATCTGAAGCCGCTGCCAGAGAAGATCGTGAGTTGCAGCATCGTCAGAATACATACAAAGCCGTCAGAACTCAAGCACCTTGTGGGAAGTAAAAGTTGTGGCTTTTCAAAGTGTTTAGAATGTAATAGTTTAATGTGTCAAAGTAATTTTTAAATTTTCTAATAAATAATAAAAGTATTGTAATGAAATTTATAATGTCTTAGTGAACTCTTGTACAAGTTTTAAAGTCTATTCAAAAGTGTGTTTTTTTTTTTTGGAAGTCTCATTTTATAGTTTAACTGTAAGCTTTTCTGAAAAGTTAAAGCACTTCTGACAGATCATTTAAACACTTTTAAAAGCAGTTTTTGAAGTCAGAACACCAAAAACAACTTTTAAAAAGCTGTCCCAAACATGTGCTTTGATTGACCATAGATTTTCATGAAATAGAAATGCATGCTCAATCAAGTTATCAAGTAAAATATGAGTTATTTATTTATTTATAATCGTGATGTGCGAGACTTGCCCCTTCTTAACTATTAAAAAAAAAAAAGTGTGAAATATTAGTAATATGATCATACGCACTCTTTCATTTTTCCTAATAATTTTGGGGTTTCAAGGGAAAATCCCACTTGTTTGAATTTAAGATTTGTTTTAGAAATTAGGAAGACAGAAAATGGGTTAATGCGTGGTCTGCCAAGTTATTAAGTGAAATAGAGTCTCCAGCAAAAAAAGAAATACATATAAAAAATATAAAAAGGAGTGAAATATTAGTGTTATGAATCATGATCATAAGCACTCTCTAATTGTCCTAATAATTTTGGATTTCAAAGGAAAAAGCCCAGATGTTTGAATTAATGATTTGTTGGAGAAAATAAAAGAAAACAGGGAGACAGAAAATGGGTTATTTTGATTTTCTTAAGATATGTATCAGACTAAGTTACTAACCAACCTGAATAATCATCACTAATTAAGCTGTGATATTTTTTTTTTCTTTTTGAAGTTTTCTATTTATTGCATTTAGGCCTAATCCTCAGTGGTCAATGCTATGATACACTCACTAGGAATGGCAAACACACATTATGTGAACTCTTCATCCCTCGTTGAAATGCAACTGTGGATTTTTTTTTTCCCCATTTATACTTAATAAATCTAATCACCGTTAAGCTCAGAGAAATATTTAGTAGATGATTTCTTCATCTCCATGTTGGTTAGGATGATGTAGGTCAACGTTTTAAATAAAGTCCCGTGGCACTCGACACGAGCTTTTTTTTTTTTAAGTTTTACACATGCATTTTTATTTTTTATATTTTTTATAATGTGACCAAAAGAATTCTTTTTAATCATTTCTTTTTTAGAGATATTATAAGTTTGGTTTTACGTATGGTGCAATATTTGTTTTTCTTTTTTATTTACAATATTCAAATCCATGTTCATGTTGGGTAGGATATGGTGCATGTAAGCATATAATTCGTTTGTCATGACTTTGATATCTAGTAGTTTCTTTTTGTATATATCTATCAAGGTACACGCTTTTCAAATGTCATGGGCGTAGATATCATAATAATATAATTATCCCAATATTATACTATTTTTAGGTTATTATACTCATACAGAAAACATAGTTTAATCTCAAGAAAGAACATGCGCATGTAGAAAATTATATCCCTACTGTATTTGGCTTTTGATATACTTTTGATATATACTTGAATTATTATTATTTGGTATATTCTTTTTTTTAAAAAATTTCTTTTGACAAAAGCATCCTCGACGTTTTCTATTAAATTTCATACTAGATGAGAGCGTATTCTCAATACTACTGAATTAGTCTCTTTCTTCAGCAACAGGGGAAAAGTTCTTTTCCTTGTTGCAGTTTGTTTTATGTATAATTTTCTGTATTCCTTTTGGATTAGATATGATATATTAGAGATAAGGACAAACAACCTTTTCTCCAAATCTTGCCCTAAGAAGGGATACAAGCAAACAACAAACATATTTGACCACTTTAGTAGTTTTTAATTGCTTAAACTTAATCATATTGTTAATAATTTATTTCTTCTTAGGTATGTTTGGCAGTGATTTTTAAAACCTAAAATTAATTCTCTAGCCATCAACAACTGAAATTTGTGTTTCGTAAAAATCATAAAAAGTGACTCTTAAAGAATTTTTGAAGAATTTACAATCAAAATCAGACGCAGCCCAAGGACAATTTTAACTTTTAGATTGTGCATCAATAATCTTAAAGTATAATTAATAAAACTTTCATAATATCTATAATACCCTAGAATCAATATTTATATAATTATAATTTACCAAACACTCAATTACTTTTTATAACAATTATTTTTTTTTCAACACAGCAAATTTCTTCAAAATCTAAGCGATACTAAATTAGCTCATAATTGCATTAGAGGTATAATTAAAGGGAGACACTTAGCCTCAATTTGTGTACCAATCCTTCCCGTGATTGGCTCGTATGTGCGTGCCCTTCTTCTATGGGGCCACTTGTCATCTTATGATTGGAAAAGGGCACGTGTGGGTAGCACTCATCAAAATCATACATTTGAACGATAACTCTTTTCTAAGTAATCCCTTTTTTTTTTTCCCTTAGTTTTATTTATTTATTTTTTTCATGGTGTAGAAAAGAGTCGGTTGATATGGTTGATATGATTGATATGAGAGAACTTAATTAGGTTTGTCGGTAATGTTAATTGTTTAGATTCTTTGAACACATCAATTCAGGTTAGGAAAACTATTTATGGTGGACGGAGACATTTTGTAGCACTAGGCCCCTTAAGGTCTTCTAGGAGTAAAAACTATTTTCTTGACCTTAAAGGAAAAATGAGAGCCTCATTTTGTTTGTGTTTTTCTCTTTGATATAACTTTCTGAATCTTTGTTTTTTTTCTTTTCTAAATTTTATTTTCCGTGTCTCTTATGGTTGTTGACAAAATTGGTGAGAAACCTAATTTTCTTTGGTTAGGTAGCTAGCTGTAATTCTTTTTCTTAATCTCTTAAACGATATTTTTAGTGTCATTGATTAGATGGAGTTGTTTGGTTGTTTGATAGAGTTAATAAAGATATCTCACTACTAATCTTTTCCCAATTGTCAAGTTATACAAAGATTACAAGACAAAATGGTGGGCTTCGAAATTAGTAGATTCCTATCTTAAAATCCAAATTTTGACTATTTTCCACTTTATGTTCTTTCTTTCTTTCAAACTAAACAAAAAAAAAAAAAAAAAAAAAAAAAAAAAACCGCAAGAAAAAAAAAAAAAAAAAAAAAAAAAAAAAAAAAACAAGCGCTAGGGATAAGAAATAAAAATCAAAGAATTTGTAGTTTTATCGTGTGTTATTTTTTTAAATACTGAGTTTTTTTTTTTTTTTTTTTTATGAATCAATTAGGAAGAGTTGATACAATTGAACTTCCTTAAAGTATTTCTAATACCCATAGTATAAAGGTTAGTTCTAAAACTGTTTGAGAACCTTTTTTTTTTTTTTCCTTTATCGTGTGAAGACTAATATTTTCACCTGAAAACATGCCATAAGCTCACCTCAATTTAACCCATTGATCTAAGCTGAAAACATGACACGTAAAACGGGCTTATATATATATATATATATATATTAAACATATAATCTAAAAAGCTTATAACCCTAGTTAGCCAGCTAGTTAATTTCGAAAGGAAGCTATATATATTCCACGTTCCCACCTTATAGCTTTTGTATCTTACAAGCATGTACAAGTACATCACTACAAAAATGGGCTCGCAATCAATTTTTGCTTTCACACTTTTTTTTTTTTCTAGGGCATGCCATGATCAAATGAAGCACAGTTGATTTGGCCAAGTTCACATGTGAAGCTGAGAGAGAGAGAGAGAGAGAGAGAGAGAGAGAGAGAGAGAGAGAGAGAGAGAGAAGCAGAGTGAGGTTCATGGGTTTTGTTTTGTGGGATGCATGGTGATGAGAGGATGTTGTCAAGTTGGGAAACACAATGGGACCCTTGTGCCATAGCCAGTTCACAAATCCATTTCTGAGTAGTCAACCTCAATGCTTCTCTTTTAGCCCTTCAAAAGCCAGCAACTGCCATCATTTCTCAAAGACTCAAAGGGAAAGGATATATTTGAAACAAAAAAATAATAATTAAAAAAAATTTCCAAGTAAAAAAGAAAAGAAGAGAAGAAAAAAAAAAGAGTAGGGCTCCACATCTAGACACAAAAGCAAATGCTAGTGGCAACGGTCGCACGCAGCTAAAGCAAATTTGTCTGCTACATATACATGTCTCTTATGTACATTAATTGATTCTTTTTTTAATGTTTTTCTTGTGACAAGAAATTCAAATGATCATCTCTCTCTTTGGGATTGCTAGTAATTATCATACTATTTTCTAGATGTGCACGTGTTGGGACTTAGTGACACTCATTTTTCCTACGGCTTCTATGTGCATGCTTGTGTCTCCATGAGGAGTAGTTTGAACATTTTAGCTAATTCAAGAGCACTACTAATTAATTACTATATATATTTATATATATATACAAATTTTCAATAGTTATATTTTCATCGGTTATCACCTCTAAATATAAAAGTTTAGTGACATGATAAGAATATAATTTCATTAATTGTTATTAATTTTTGTTATCAACTATTCAATTTGTTACAACTATTGGATTAATATCTTGTATTGACTAAAATAATGATACTCATTGATGGGTAAATATTAGAATAACCATATATACACAAGTATATAATATTAATAAATAAAAAAGGTCAATATTAATCCAAGTATTCTTAGTAAGCTTCCTCCCTTTTGAAGGGTTTGTCTATTGGATACATTTGTAAATGGCTTAGCATAGCATCTAGGACTAGCATCTCTATATTCCTGAAAATCGTGGATTCTAAAATGCAAATCTAGAATAAAATGGGAATGAAATCTGACGTTTGGAGCACCCTTTTATCGTGATGCTATTACTATATATATTGATGGTAAGACAATAACTCAATTTTGTCAATGCATGTGAAGATATGGTAGTGCATGATTGGTTTTCTTTACCCTATATTTAAAAATTATAAATGATACGTGATGGGTCAAATTTATACATATATATATATATATAGTTAATATTTATATCGTGCACTTCTAAAAAAAAAGTGCATGTGGAAGAAATTAATTGCGTTTTCGTGATTCATGTGAAGGGAGCATGGCTTTCCATTCTTGATTTCTAACCATATTAATCAAATATTTTATAGAACCGTGTTTTTGCAATATAAATTCTATATGATAGGTCTATTATATATATATATATATATATATATTAGAGTAGTGGGTTCTTATGGAATATACGTGGGAAACATATATTTGTTCAACAAAAATTGGGAAATAAGATAGGTAAAGTAAAGGACTGCAAATTGCAATGTCAAATTTGTTTATAGGGACACAAGGACTTGTGAAAACAACATAATTACTGAAATAGAACTTTCTTCTTTATAATTACATAGCAATCAAGCATCTAATCTTAAGAAACAAATAAACCATCTTTTGTCTTTGGTTTAATTAGTTTTCTTGGGAGATGTATATATGTACCCTAAATCTAAAACCATCTGATTAGGCAAAATGTGGCGCCATAGTACTCCAAGCTAAGTAATCAAATCTGACTAGGGAAGATAAAAAGAGATGGGGAAACACTAATCAATCACCATTTACCTTACGTGTTAGGGATTAACTAGAATAAATTACAATTAATTTTCCTGCTTCACTAATACTCTTTTGTGATGAATGATGATGCTATAAATTTACTTTCAAGTTAAATGAGTAAAAACTGCACTTGAAATGTATAGGAAATCACTTCAGGAAATGACAAACCTCCACAGGCCACACAAAATACATGGAAGCCACACCCATTAAGGACAGACAGTAATTATGAGAAACAAAGACAAAAGAACAAATGGGTTTTTTTGCATATATATGTTTACATTACATATATATAAGTAGGTTTACGCTAAGGCATACATAACTCACTTATGTACCACTCAATGTAAGGTGGTCTCAACCAATCATTTCACTCAATTTTGTCAAAAAGTGACAACCATTTTGTCTTCATTGGTTGAGACCACCTAGTTAAGATGGTCCATATCGTACCTTAAAACTATGCAAAATCTTTTGTGTGTGTGTGCGGACTATATATTATCTCTTTTTTTCTACACAAACAAATATTGCTCTATCCTTTGTTTTCTAGGATTCTAAGTTGGTAAATATCGCCATGAAAGAAACACTAAGATACTTGGCAGGAATTGCAGGTCCAAGTGGTTACGGCTCAAAATCGACCGCCGAGCAAGTCACCGTGAATTGTTGCGCGTCACTCCCGGCACAACTGACGGCAATAGTCACCGGTAATTAGTCCTAAATTAACCATATTCTCTCTGACCACAATATTAACATGTTCTTGGCATAATAACAACACATAACATTATGAGTTTTTCGTATGATCTGTTTTTTTTTTTTTTTCACTGGAAAGAAGATCTGGGATTATATATGCATTAAAATTTTCTTGTCCCGTACATGTCTCCTGGTTTGAAGTTGAACAGACCAAGTTTTTCTTTTTTTTTCTTTTTTTTTTCTGGACAATATTCTGATAATTATTACTGCTGGCTCTCAAAAAGTTTCCTTCATTTTCGAATGTTGTTTATATATCAGATTACTAATAGGACTAATAACATAGAATTCATAACATACGGTGTTTACTTAAGAGTCTCTCTCTCTCTCTCTCTCTCTCTCTAAACACGATAGTGGTTCTTACCCTCATGATATATCTCACAACCTTTTTATTTTCTTCTCTTTTCTCTCAATTTACTTCATATTAAACCAAATTCAGAAGATGGGTTTGTGTGGTTTTAACATCTTTAGATTCCCTGGATGAAACATGCCTGTTCATGAGAGGATATTCCTGCAAAACACTCATGTTTCTATTCTTTTTTCCCCACCAGTTTCTTGTATTACTTTTTTAATTCAATTAATTCATTTAAATATTCTAAGGCTTTCCTAATTGGACAAAAGAATGTATAGCTATATATTTTGCTCTTCTTTATGCGCTGCAATGGCCATCGGTTTGTATTGTATTATTATTTTTTGGTGGTTCTTTTTGGCTGTAGTAAGATATGGTTTTGTCTCTTTTATGTGATATTCTTTTATTGGGTTCAGAGTATATCTTACTGCAATCTCTGGATATCCTCGTGAGAGAAAAGAAAAAAAAGAAGGAAAAAAAAAAAAAACCTCACCTTGGAATAATACAACAAATGTATATATATACACACACACACTCATATGCCCAAACAGTACTTTAACATATATGAGCTAGTAATTAGTGAACTATATATAAATTTATAATACATGGGTTTTCTATATATCTGAAATTTTTTTTAAAAGAAAATAGTATTGATAAATTATTAATTTTGTTTAAAATATGTATGTTGGGATAAAGGAGGCACATCAGGGATTGGAGCTGAGACAGTTAGGGTGTTAGCAAAGAGGGGAGTGAGAGTAGTGATTCCTGCAAGGGACTTGATAAGGGCAGCTCAAGTGAAGGAGGGAATTCAAAGGGAGACTCCAAATGCTGAGGTCATTGTCTTGGAGATTGATCTTAGCTCATTAATCTCTGTTAGGAGATTCTGCTCGGAGTTCCTTGCTCTCGGACTACCCCTCAACATTCTCATGTGAGTTTTTTTTTTTTTTTTTTTTTTTGAAAAAAAATATAGAAATCTCCTATTTGAGTCCTACAGTAGGACATCTCATTAGTAGTATTTATTTTAAACCGTTAAATTTAATTAAAATTATATCAAAACAAATAAGTATGCAGAACAAGTATTTTCTTATACAGATATAATGGCTAAAATCATAGATTTACCGGTAATTTATTTTATCAAGTTAAACCGTAGAAATCTCTCCTTGTGGGTTTGGTTTTTTTTTTTTTTTCTTTTTTTTTAATGTGTGAGAAGGATTGGATTCTGATGGCTGAAAAACAACACATTTGATTTTGCAGAAATAATGCTGGCATGTTCTCACAGACGTTGGAGTACTCTGAAGACAAAATTGAGATGACATTTGCCACAAATTACTTGGGTAAACATATATTCACATTTCACATATTTTTATTATTTTTTGTTTTTATAGTTCTGTTACTAGCTTTATTCACATAACACGACATAACTTCCTCAAAGACACAAATACTACTAATTTCAAAGATATAAGACACTAGAAATGATAGAAGCATCTAAATGCTCTTTATAGTATACATATGTAAAAGTGAGGAAAAAAAAAAAAAAAAAAAAAAAAAAAAAAAATTAAATTTTAAAAAAAAAGAAAAGTACTACTAAATAGTATGTCCGTACTGTTCATGTGGTCCATAACAAACTGCCCCTTCAATTAAAAAATTGTAAAGAGTCAAATAAGAATGATTGCTATAAGATATTTGCAATTTTTCGTTATCATATAACTTTAAGACTAAAAATTAAAATCAATTGCTAAGTCGGATTTTCTTTAGCTTTCACAATGCTGCTCACATGTGACTCCACCTGAAATCTCAAACGCGGATTTAGAAATGATGACCAGAGTTGGTAAAAAGGCAAATAAACTATACAAGAAAATCACTTTTAAAGAATTGGTATTTGAATATATTGCTTTTTTTAAAAAAAATAAAAATAAAAAAAATAAATAAATATAAAAGTGATACAAGTGAATAACTAGACGATACCGAAACTATAACACGCGTTTTAAATTCAGATTCATTATTGGGCTAAAAATGCAAAATTAGATCTAACGAGCCCACTAGGACTCGAAAAGTGGTCTTGGGTTATCAATTGTCTCCCACCAGACCATATAGCTTTTTGGTGGGGTCAGATGAGACAGGGATAAGCATCCTTAGCCTCTAGAACCTAAGCCTGGGCCTTAGTGCTCTTGACCATTCACATTCAGACCTCAGTGGGCCATTGGGCCTCACTCAAAACTAGGATTCTGCGGTCCAGCTATTATCTTGTCAGTTCAGTTTTTGTTGTTTTCTCCCCTGGTACCAAACAGAAGAATTTGATCTAAATTTTCTGAAAAAAAAAGTCAACTTCCATTTTTCTGGCAGGACATTACCTTTTAACGGAAATGCTGTTGGAAAAGATGGTGGAAACGGCAGCTAAAACAGGTATCCAAGGAAGAATAATCAATGTCTCATCCATGATACATAGCTGGGTGAAAAGAGAATCCTTCTGCTTCAGTGAATTGCTCAATCCAAAAAAGTAAAATACTACTCATTCTCTCATCAACCAAACATTGAGTAAATTGCGTTGTTGAACTTCAAACCATTCGATTTTTTTTTTTTTTTTTTTTTTTTTTTTTTTTTTATATAATGGACCACGAACTTTTAATGTTGACAAAAAATGAACAGTTGATGCAACGGTGCAATTTACTCGCCAAACATTTGTCAATATCATTAGTGTCTAGGAAAAATAAAAATTAATGTTATTAACTTGTTACAGTTATAATGGAACTCACGCATATGCGCAGTCGAAGTTGGCTAGCATATTGCATGTCAAGGAAATGGCAAGACAACTTAAGGTAACACCAACAACAGCAATAATAATATCATTTTCATTTGTTTTCTCTTATCTGCTATGTATGCATATCAATGGCATTATGTTTTCGTTGAAAAACTAACAAGTTAGATTTTTTGTGATCTGTATAGGCAAGAAATGCAAGAGTAACCATCAATGCAGTACACCCAGGAATCGTGAAGACTGGAATAATCAGAGCTCACAAGAGCTTTATCACAGGCACGTATCATTTCCAAGTTCTAGCAAAAGATAATTGGAAGTGTAGCATTCATATTAATCTAACTTGTAAGAGACTCTCTGGGCAGATTCTGTGTTTTTCGTCGCTTCGAAGTTGTTAAAGTCAGTATCTCAGGTATGTCTCACACAAAGTTCTGATATCCCAAACATTCATATAATTATCACGGCTTACCGGAGGCCGTCGGATTTGTTGTGCAGGGCGCATCAACCACATGCTACGTTGCTTTGAGCCAGCAAATGGAAGGTGTAAGTGGGAAATACTTTGCAGACTGCAACGAGAGTGACTGTTCAGCTCTAGCAAATGATGAAGCAGAAGCACAAAAGTTGCGGAAGCAGACTCGTGCACTTTTACACAGACGACTATGCTATCCAGCAGCATAGTAGTAGACCTGCAGACTTTCAGAACCATCGTGTATATAAGCTCATTCATGTAATATGTCGAATGGCATTGCAGAAGCCTTTTTAAAAGATCAAAGTACATGCCAATAAAGGGACACAAAATTTTCCCCCTACTCATCATCCCAAGGTTGTATTACTTCACTTTATGCTAATATAATAAAGTATACAACTTTTTTCTTTTCCTATCAAGACCTTCTTAGGTCTACTATTCTGTGTTCATTGAAAAAAAAAAGGTTTTTGGTTTTTTTCTAATCTACTTGTCGCCAAAAAAAAGGAGACACGAAAACATGTCCTTTGCCTTGCTCCTCCCACATTCTGAGCTTGTAAGTCAGAGAACGAATGATCACTTGCAGAATAGAGCAAGTGTCTGAAGTGCCAAATTCGAACACTAGCTCAATGATCAAATAACATGCCAAAAATTAGGTTTAAGGGAAAAGACGAAAGTGGTTAATTCTCCCAAAAAAAATGATGCACATTTCAAAGCAAAATGGTATCTAGTAGGTCAACCAAAAATAATTCAAATACTCAAATTTAAATAGTGACCGAGAGATATGGACCTTTTTGCTAGAGATATATGGAGACCTTGCAAGCTGCTTGAACATAGCTAATGAAAATAATAATAGCAGAAAACATATTTATATAGGTAACGCCAGATAATTGTTGTATTCCAGTCGATCTTTAAAGCCAACTAATGTAACAGATTAAAGAAGAAAAAACATATGGATTCCTGCGAAAGAAATACAAGCATTTTTGTAACATATAATTAAAAAAAGAACTTTGGGATTGTCACCCATACATTCCATTAGCTGTTACTTTATTACAATACACAAATAGAGAAGTGAAAGCACACCAAGCAACATGGGGATGCTGATACGTCATTAAAGTTGCAAAGGTATCAGATTTAGTTATGAATCCCGCATTGTATGTCAGCTATTATGCACCTGAGTCATGAATTATGACTAGCCGAGAAGATTGTGAATACACATGCGCATGTCCAGTGGCAGAGCAGCCTCTACATTTTCTGACCTGCCAAAATTTGCGATCACGTTCATCAGGATCTATCAGAAGAAACAATATATAATGACGCCAAAGAAGCATACAGTCTGCCATTATCACTGAGAGACCTTAATTGGGCAGCTTATTAAAAAGAAACAAGGGAGAAAAAAAAAATAGAACCAACTTTATAATCCTTTTATTTTCTCTTATTCCGGCGACATTAAAGTTGCTAATGCCAAAACTCTGGACATGAAAATTACAAACTACATTTTTGCCACTAGATATCCCTAAAGGGAGACAATTCAAACAACTAAACTTGCAGAACATACACATAGTACCATCGGCTATTGCTGTCATATGTTCTCTATAGTATTACGTTCTTAAAAAATATGACTCTTCAAAATATAAGAAAATTAATAGTAAAATGCGTTTTACTTCATCTGTAAGATGCTATTCCCAATACAATAACTTCTATAAAAAAATAGAAACAATATCTAAAGCAGTCAAATGATACCAAATAAATGAGGAGACCGACGAACGATTTCGGAAGATCAGATTGAATCGATTGCCCCCTTTCCCCTATTCTGTTTCTTGGAACTTCTAAGCCCTTCTCTCCTTTGAACATGGTGCTCACTTTTCTTAGCCAAAGACTCACTTTTCTTAGCCAAAGACTCACTTTTCTTAGCCAAAGACTCACTTCTGTCAATTGAAATGGACAAAGCTGGCGCAGAGGTAGAAACCATAGCAGATTCCTGAAAAGGACTTGTTGGCTCCGGTAAAAGTCCTGGTGAATCATAAAAAAGAAAACAGATTTACAATCACGAAAAAGGGCTTGCTTCTAGATGGAAATAAAGCCAGACAATGCAATTTGCCAATTTATTTGAAAATGTCAGAATGCATGAAGAAGATGGGAGTTAAATGTACATCCACAAGGATCAGGTACAACCTATATTTCTGCATGGATTACTAGAAATAACCAGCGTACCAAACTAGCATCAAAATAGCTCACTTACTCCTGAGGTTGTCACCTTTTAAACGTTCAGGATATTAAGAAGAGCATATGAGGTAACGTTTATACCTTGAGCAGCAGCTTCTTGAAACTTCTGCCTCATTATTCTGACAAACTTGAATAAACCATTCATTCTATTCAACTCGAGGATCAACTCCTTGACGTCATCCAAGTGTGGATCACAATCTAACACTGAAATTGCAAAAATGGCAAAGAGGAACAAAAGGTCAAGATGCCAGAATGTTAGTTCATATTCCACATTATTACATGTCTAACAAACAACACCACATCACTTACAGGTGTAAGTATCGTCTGCATGGCGGATTGTGAATGAAAATTCCTCATTTGGATTTTTCATACTAATATTCTTAAAAATGAACCTTACACCTAACAAATTAAAAGCATTCATATGTTAAGTCACATTTTTCAACCAAAAAAGGAAAAAAAAAAAAAAAAAACTTGCTGAACAAAAAAAAAAAACACCTCAAATCTTAATTACCATGCCCGCCTTCAACATGGAAACCGAGAACTCTATTATACCACGAGATAGCTTCTTGTATTTCACCTTTTTCGTTTTGGCAATTTGTTTCTTCAGACACTGCAAAATGCTTTCATATCAATTATCAGCTAACAAAAAATGACTAATGTAGTCAGATAACAGCACAATACAACACACAACAATGAAAAAAAAAAGGTGAAAGGAAATACCTGATAATTGCTTCGAAATAATTGCAGCATACGCATCCCTCTTAGCCCTCTGATCATGGACTTTCATTTTAAGTTCTTCAACCCTAGCTTTACTAGCAGTAAGAGAGTCTATCAAGGCAATTCGTTTGGCCTCTTTACGGTTCTTCACTAAACAACAACAATGAAAAAAATGGCAATGCACATACGAATCAGATAAATAAACAAAAAGAAAACAAAAAAATAGACATCTCACAGATTTGCGCACAATTTGCCACAAAAATTCAAACCCTAATTTCGAATTTCGAATTTGGAGTTCCAAGTAACAGAGTCGCATACCTGATAGCGCTTTTACCAAATCATCTTCCGCCTCCCTCAGCCTAGCTTTAACCTCCACAAGTTTACCTGCAAAAACTCAACGAAAACGAAATTAAACCCAAAAAAATGGAGAATCCAAAACGTACATTACCAAATCGGCTATTTCGAAAACCCTAACAGTATCTCCATTTGAAGACATTCAATTTTGATCCTAATTTTGCAGAAAATCACTATAAAACACTCGCAGAACGCTTAGAGTTGTGAAAATTGACCTTGAGATTGGACGGTTTCTTGCGCTCTGGAGCGAATCGAAGAAAAGGATTCTCGAAATGACGTCGTCAAGGCGTCGATAAACAGCCGCTCAGGGACAATCGCTCCGTCGCAGGCCATTCGGAGCGACTCCAGATTCGTCTTCACAGATTCCACTGCTCTGCTATCCATTTCTAGAGAGAGAAAGACAGCGTTGTAGAGAGAGAGATTTCTTTTTGGTTTCCTATTTTGAATGCGATTTGCTTATTAGCTAAGCCCGCCATTTTTTCTTCTTTTGCATTTTTTTTTTCTTTTTTGTGAGAAAATGGGGTAGATAATGGTGGATGATCGGATTATTTTTATAAATGCCTACCTTATTTTAAAGTGTTTTTTTTTTATTTTTCAAAACCATTTAAAACATCTTTTGATATATAAAAAATAGATTAAATTACTCTCTTAATCTAATTTCGTCTATAAAGTTAACAGATAACTTATGTGACACTCTTTTTCAAAACATTAAAGAACTAAGCTAACAAAGGAGATTCATTTTCATTTAGCAAAAAGAAAAACGAGATTAATTATTAAAAACTACCAAATAAATTTAGATCAAACTTATTATTGAGAAATATCTGCGTTCATCACACTCAAACCATACAATCAAATATTCTCAATAAAATAAAATAAAATAAAAGCCAAACAATTAGATGAGAAAAATCTAAATCTACGATAAGAACTACACAATCCATCGAAATACCCAAAGTACAGTTTAAATGCACAGATCTAAGAAGAAGAAGGGAAGGTGATAATGAAGAAAATCGTTAATAATAATTATCTTTTAGTTTAAAATTTAAAATTGTAATTATCTAGAGTTAGGATTTGATTAAGTCAAAGTTATCCAGTTAGTTTCCTTTCTAAGTTTTGAATAGTTAGTTTTTCTAATATTATGATTGCTTATGTAAAACTCTAATTATATTCTCTTACTTCACCCCCACATACTCCGGAACACAATGGGTATTCAGAACGTCGTTATCGTCACATCGTTGAAACCGGTTTGTCTCTTCTCTCCCATGCCTCCATGCCTATGTCATATTGGTCTTATGCCTTTGCCACTGTAATATATCTTATTAATCGTATGCCAACTCCTACACTCTAACTTTCCTCTCCCTATGTCAAACTCTTTCAGTCCTCACCTAACTATTGAAAAGTTCGTGTCTTTAAGTGTTCATGTTATCCATGGTTACGTTCGTATTTTTCTCATAAACTTGATCCTCGCTCTACCCCTTGTGTATTTCTTGGTTACTCTCTCACCCAAAGCGCTTACGTATGTCTAGAACATTCTTCTTCTAAAATCTATATGTCCCGTCATGTTAAGTTTGTTGAATACATCTTCCATTTTTCTTCTCTCCACTCTTATCTTCCCCGTCTCTTGTCCAACACTCTCTCTCACTGGTGTTCATATGCATATCTATCTCGGCCGTCTACCACACCATCTCCAAGTCCGTCTACACATTCTGCCCTTGCTACGAAATCACTAACCTACGCAGATCCTGGCACAACCATGCCGCTTACCCTCATCACTCCCAGCCCAATCCAATTGATGCCCACACCCTCTACACTCCCAGATCAAGCCCAAAATCCACCTAATTCTGCGTCGAACCCACTGCCAACCCCAATGTCAAACCCAGGTCTAGTGCCCCCTAACCCACTTACCCACCTAACTCACAATCACCGCCCAACCCACCAATCCTGCAAACCCCGCCCACTACAAACAAACCTGAACTCCCCTCATCACTTCATCCTCTCACATTCCATCTCATATGCCCGTTGACCCAAATACACGTGTCATTATGACCCAATCAAAGAACAATATTCACAAGCCAATTCACAAACTTAATCTTAATGCCCAACTTGTAAACAACACTGATCTTGAACCCACCACAGTCACCCATGCCATTAAAGATCCCAAGTGGCATTACGCCATGTTAGAAGAGTATGATGCTCTTGTTCGGAATGGAACATGGGAACTTGTTCCCTCGGATCCCACTCAAAATTTAGTTAGTTGCAAGTTAATATTTCATATTAAGCGTTTACCTGATGGTTCTATTGATAGGTACAAAGCACGCTTGGTTGCAAAAAGGTTTCATTAACGTCCTGGAATTGATTACCTTGACACGTTCCTGTTGTCAAGCCCACCACCATTTGTCTTGTTCGTAGTCTTGCGGTTACTCGTGGTTAGTCGCTTCGTCAACTTCATGCAAACAATGCCTTTCTCCAGGGCCATCTTACTGAGGATGTATTTAGGGCTTAGCCACAGGGATTCATTGATCGTGATCATCCTCAACATGTCTACAAATTACGTAAGGCTATCTATGGTCTCAATCAAGCACCACGTCCTTAGTATCATGAGTTGCGCCCGTTGCTTGTCACCTTTGGCTTTGTCAACTCTCATGTAGGCTCCTCACTTTTTGTCTTCAACACCAGTGGTACTATGATCTATCTTCTTGTTTATGTTGACGACATTATTATTACAGGTTACAATGATGGGAATGTGAAGAAAGTCATTACACTCCTAGCTCAGCGCTTCTCTATCAAGGATCTCGGTCTTGTAACTTATTTTCTTAGAGTTGAAGTCACTTCTCATCCATAGGGCTTACTTCTTTCTCAACACTGTTACATCACGAATCTTTTAGCTCGCACATGCATGACAGATGCAAGGCCAATTACTACACGACTTGCTATTGCTCCAACCCTTGATCTTCACTCTGGCACATCTCTTTCAGAAATTCATTACACTCTTAGCTCAGCGCTTCTTTATCAAGGATCTCGGTCCTCTAACTTATTTTCTTGCAGTTGAAGTCACTTCTCATCCATATGGCTTGCTTTTTTCTCAATGTCGTTACATCACGGATCTTTTAGCTCGCACACGCATGACAGATGCAAAGCCAGTTACTACACCACTTGATACTGCTCCAACTCTTGATCTTCACTCTGGCACAACTCTTTTAGATCCATCTGAATATCGGACTATTATAGGCAGTTTGCAATACATGTCGCTTACATGGCCCGACATTGCATATGTGGTGAATAAACTGACTCAGTTTATGCACCGCCCTACCAGAGGTCACTAGAATGCTGTGAAAGCGACTATTGCGGTATCTTTGTTGAACCCCTATTGATGCTCTTCTCCTCTATCAAAAATTCCCTTTATCACTACATGCTTTTTCTAATGCTGATTAGGCAGGTAACAAGGATGACTATACTCCTACGAGTGCTTATCTAGTTTATATGGGTCGCAACCCTGTCTTTTAGAGTTTGAAGAAACAACGGACGGTTGTCCGCTCCTCAACATAAGCAGAATATCGGTCGGTAGCAGCTACTGTTGCATAACTAAGTTAGATTTCCTCACTTTTCACTGAACTTGGTGTTCCTTTATCTGTTCCTCCTGCAATCTACTACGATAATGTTGGTGCTACAAATCTTTGTGCGAATCCAGTCTTCCACTCATGTATGAAATATGTTGCTTTGGACTATCACTTCATTCGTGAACAAGTTCAGAGTGGAGCTCTTCGTGTTGCCCATGTCTCATCGGAGGATCAGTTAGCAAATGCTTTCACAAAGCCTCTTCTGCGAGCTTTTTTCCTTATTCTCAATACCAAGATTGGACTCTCCTCTCGGAGCTCCATCTAGCGGGAGTATAATGAAGGAATTGTTAGCAATAATTATCTTTTAGTTTAAAATTTGAAATTGTAATTATCTAGAGTTTGGATTTGATTTAGTCAAAGTTATCCAGTTAGTTTCATTTCTAAGTTTTGAATAGTTAGTATTTCTAAGATTACGATTGCTTATGTAAAACTCTATTTATATTATCTTTCTCAATGAAAAAGTAAAAGTCTTATTTTTCTCATATGCAATTCTTCTTTAGGTCAAAGGTCGACGACAGACAGCTGCGGTGACCCAAGGTGGTAGTGGCAGAACGAGTTGCAGATCTAGGTGATGAGACAAGAAGCGGATTTGGGCGGCTCATGAGAAAGGACAGTGGAGGAGATGCATGTTTCTAGGTTACTTCGTTTAAACAGGTGGCTAGGACGTAGGTTGGGCGGCATGCGATACACGCTGATCTAGGTGGCTCTAAGCAAGGGAAAGGCGCGGGGCTAAGGGGCAACAAGACTTGGCGACGGCAACAAAGGAATAGATTTCAAGGGCTTTGTGTGGGTTGTACTCAGAGCAAATTTTGCTTTGGTAATGGGATTCAAAACGAATTTTTTTTGTATAAGAGGATTCCTTCATTTTGGAAAAGTAGCATTGTGTTTGGCTTTGTGTGGATTGTACTCACAGAGCATCAATTTTGTTTTGGTGATGGAATTCAAAACAAATTTTATTTGTAAAAGAGGATTTCTTCACTTTGGGAACGTAGTATTGTGTTTTGGCTATGAAGATTGTGATTTTGGGTCTCAAACTTTTTTTCTTTTTTTTTTTTAGTATAATTAAGTCTAAATGAGGAAGAAAAAGAAATACAATTTTAATGTTTTTTTAAAATCTTTTATTATTTAATCATTTTTATAGATTTAGTTACAGAATTTAATGGCTTTAGTTAATTGTTAATTGCATGCCACATCATCAAATCTGTTAACTTTATAGATGGAAGTGGATGGAGGGCGTCTTGATCTATTTTTTATACATTAAGAGGTCTTTTGAATCATTTTAAAAAATTAGGGGTATTTTAAAACGAGGTAAGTAGTTAGGGGCATTTATGAAATTAATCCATGGAAAATAGTAGAAAATAGGTCAATATGAAAAGTTTAAGAAAGTATATAGGTCAATTTTTAGTTATAGAAATTAATAGGCCATAACTTGTCAAGTTATGGTTCATAACCAGATAAGTTATGGATAAACTTGTCAAGTTATGGTTCATAACCAGACAAGTTATGGACAATTATGGATAATAACTTGTCAAGTTATAGTTCATAACCAGACTAGTTATGGACGAAAACAGTAATTTGGCTTATTTATTAACTTATGTAAACTATTAGCCTATTAATTTTAATTTATCTCAAGTCTTGACATATTTTTCTCTTTCTCCCTTAATCCATTCTAGTCCTCGGCTCTGCCTTTGCCAATCATGTGGGTTGGGCTTTCTGCAGGATTTACCACCATGCTTATGATGAAGCCCAAACAGATATGTAGCAAACTGTTAGTAGTATTGTTGGCATATAGCAAAAAACAATTCAGAATATTTTAGAAAGAGAAAAAAAAAAAATCACTTCATCATTTGTAGTATAAACGTGAATATCAT